GCTGCCCTCTAAATAATTATTCAAAAACTCTTTTGCAATTAAACTGCATTTAATTCTAAATTCTTTCTACACGAATAAATACAAAAGTAACACTGTGATAAAACGAAAGTAAAGCGCAGTATAGTTTTAACGGAGAAGTGTTGTTTTTCACTGTTCAGAGTTCAGAATGTGTCTTTAAAGTCAAAGATCACAAGATATTGTGAAATAGATTCGATTATTAACGGAACGTAAACAAGGCCTGAAAAGGAGTCTATGGATGATTAAGCAGAACAGAAACCAATCATAATTTCGCGTTTGCTTATACAGAAAAAGAGCAACAGAATGCAAACGGTCCGGATCAATAAGTAATTACTAAGTATTACTGGCCCAAATTGCCAGTAATTATTAAACAGTCTTTGAAATTTTCTATTCATAAAGAGTAATAATAGATTTTTAAAACACATTTAGGTACTTTTCCGTTTCGCCGGCGCAAATCTCGCGAAGCAGTGGCGACAGCATACAGTATACACATAAAAAATGTTAACAAATGTTAGTTCTATGAATTTTTTATTTTGAAGACAACATTTTTCAGGTTTAAATTTTGTAAAGGCAAAATAAAAGACAATAAATTGTAAAAAGACATTATTTTAAAATTTGTTCATGGTTCAACTGATTCGCTGGTTCCTCACCGTGACCCAGCGATCTCATCTCATGTAACTACGCTAGGATAAAAATTAATTCTCTAGTAATTATCTACATATTTCAAGTTAAATCTTAATTTGGAATACAAGTTTAAATGCAAGATTATTTCAATTGTGCGTATAACTTACTCAGAAATTATATAAAACCGCAATGCTTTACTCGCTAGTGATTATCATTAGAATGAGATTTAACCCTTGATTGCCTTTTCTTATTTCGCTTCGGAGCGGGTTGATTTTTCCGAATGCGAATTACGGAATGGTTTAGGATAAAATTTTTATCTAGTTAAATTCTAGTAATTGTAAGCGTATTGAAGAAAACATTCCATATGAAGTCTGCGATTTGTTTGAAAATGAGCGTAAAAGGTTACCAGCGAAGATATTCCGTTTGGCGTCAGTTGTACCATTTTTGGCGACTTTATGGTTTGCGGCGGCAAAACGGAAAAGTACCCACATTTACAATTACGCCCAAAGGTGCTTTTTTTAACGTTTTGTGTGTTACTTTTATTTATTTAGGATTTCCGTTACACAATTTCGCGCTCTAGAGATAAAAATAGCTTTTTTTTTTCGGACAATGTTGCCATTCCTCGCTTTGAAATCGTTGAATTCTGACTCTGTTTGTATACTAAGACTTGAGAATAACTCCGTTAGTCTTTCTAGAGCTCGTGATATTGCCAAAGAATACGAGACTCATACATAGTACGCTGAACACAGAATTTATCTCACAAACTGCTGCTACAATATATGTATGAAGCGATAAGACTAAAGAAGAAAAATACGTGATATCGATATTGTAATTTTTAGAATGTAAAAAATGAATTTAAGAACATTAAACACATGTGAATTTACTGAACCAATTTTATTTATTGAGAAACAGGGAGAAAAAAAAATTTTTTTGAACCAAATTATAATTTTTTATGATTATTTAGATTTTAGAGTCGAATTTTTCGTGTATATCTTGCCAAAAAGTACTACATAGTAGTAAACATTGTTGCGTTACACGGGTTCGTGGATTTGGAGTGATTGACGGCAACACTTGATGAAGAATCAAAACGCAATTTTTTCATCAGTATTACAGAGGACGGTTCCAAAGGCGCGTTTACAGTCTTCGAAAAACTCGGCAAACACGCTGAAACAACCACCCGAAACACAGTCTTCAGGCTACAGTGGTGAAAACAGCTTCATGCAAAGCACTAAAGTACAGCTCCCGACGCGGTCGATCGCTCTCAAACTAATCTCTGAACTCAAAATACTACTATTGAATTCAACAGGTACTCAAGGTACTCTTCACGATACACTGCTCAAGATTCTCTCTACTCCGCGTACAAGCAGGCTATATATAGCTTTTGACATACCCTCGAGAACATTCTCGAAAAACCGGTAAGAATTGGTTCTAGAATATTCTCTCTCCGACTATGGCATATTGTCAATTTTGTCGCCAAATGGGCGATTTCGAGCCAAATCTGGTAACACTGCCTTTCTTTCCAACTTTCTGGCAACCCTAATCCAGCTTTGCGGGAAAGCTATCTTAGTGCAAGCGGGCATTTCGTAACAATATAGAAATTTAAATATTAGTTAACTAAGATATTACGTTTACTATAAGTCCCTTCTTTTTGGTAGTTTTCGCACGAAGTATATGCACAAAGCCTTATTTATATACCATGATATTGAAATATATTCTGTGTTTTGTAATTAGATTATATATCCTTTATTTTACATTCCAAAATGTTAAGTAAAATGCCAACATTGCCTTGGTAATTCGTAAATTGCTGAGAATAAATACTTCATTCAGCGGGAATATTAGTTTATAAAATCCAAGAACCTTAACGCATACATTTTTAACTATCATGTAATTGAAGAGCAAAGTTTAAAGCAACATCGATGTAAATGGAATTGAATTAATCATTCCGAAATTAACGTAAACAAGAAAAGAAAATGTAAATGGTGTGTATCTTTGATTAAATATATTACAAAACTAATTTGAAATGAGACAATTGTCTTTGAATTTAATCGTATTCCAAGCACAAGAGCTTTAATCAAACGATTCGAACCGTCGTTGTTTCTACGAGTGAAAGCTTTTAGTTATTTCCACATCTCATGTTATACGCATTAAGAAAACTTTCAGAAAAAAGAAGAAAAAATCTAAAAATCTTTCGATTTTATATTACGCCCGATGATTTTCGGACTTAAACCATAAAATTCAATTCAGCAGCAGTATTACAAAATATTTAAAAAAGCATATCTTTCGAATTTACGATACACAATCTCGCGCGCTGGAGATAATGTTTTTTCCCCGAACATTGTTGCCATTGCTCGCTTTGAAATCGTTGAGTTTCTTAATCAAAAATTCATTAAAGTTGTATTAAATGTGACATAAATGGTATACCAAATTCCAAATTAGGGCTTCTGCATGCCCATATTCGGTGGGGGTTTACGTTATTCAAAATTCGATGGCTCTAGATACCGTTGTTTTATCACAATATGAGAAACACACATACATTTATGCAGAATCTTCATTGCTTAATTTCTTTAAATATAACAGAGGGCGATAATATTCGGATGTAACAATTTGAAAAGTAAAACCGATATTTTTGAACTCAAAATGCCAAAATTAAATGAGTAACCCTTCTGGGCTAATGCCCTTGGGCTAAAAATGGATAGCAGACAGGCTTTTCAGAGGGTAAGTGTAAGCAAGTTCATTGGGTAAATTCTTCTTTAAAAGTGTTATTTCAGTTGAGGCAGTTGCGTTCTAATTTGCTTTAATTCAAATACTGGACGCATGAAGATCTGACATGAATTTTGAGTGAAACTTTTGCTATTCTTACGTATCATTTAATGCGTTACCATCTCTATCTACATATAATAAAAGAAAGAGTCTGTCTGTGTGTGTGTCTTTCGTTCGCGCTGCGCGTAAGTTAATAGACCCACGGCTACGAAATTTGGTACATAGGTGCATCTAGACAAGAGCCAGTGCACCTCGAAGCGATTTTTTAGAAATTCGAATTCGAATTTTTTTTATTTTATATTTTGTGACGAAATCGCGTCATTTTGAGACATAATGGGCTATAGGAAAGCGAGATTTTACTCTACACACTCCATTTTCACATCGTCATGAAACGTAGGCACATAGATATTTTACGAACTTGAAATAAATTTCGTGTTTCAATAAATCGATTGAATACGAATTTATTTAACAAAGGGAGCTTAATACCTTTTCAACGGGATTTTTTCTAAAAAAGTTTTTTTATAAATGTACAGTTTATTTTTGTTTGATTTTTGGATAGGTTAAACTTTCATCCTTGCGACTGCTTTTACAAAAAGAATTTTGGAAAAATGATAATATTTTGTATTTAAAAAAAAAAATTTAAATGAAGCTTCCGAGTACACTCTCACATCTCACATCTTTAAAATGTGATTTGGCAACAGTTTTCCTGTCTTATTGCTGTTGATAGATTTTTGATGAATCGCATCCTTTGGAATGTTTCATTCTTTAGAAATATGGGTTTGGGCAACGATTTTTCATCGTATTTCTTATGTCACTGTTTTTAAGAGATTGGCATTTTCATTGTCATTTTTATATATACTGTATAATACATATTTAATGATTTTTTAATATTATATATATAAAGTTGTTCTGCAGAGTAACATTCTGCACGGAATTTTATGTTTTTTGAGTTTCTTTCATGTTATTTTTTGCTTATTTCACTGTTTGTAAGATATTGAAAAGTTTTGCATGATTTTTTTCTTCAAGTTGGTTAATTTTTTTGTTAGGATTATTAATATTTGTATTAAGGGATATTGCTTATTTCATTGTAATTTTGTTATACGTAATAACCTTTTTTTTATAAAGTTGTTCTGCAGAGTAAAATTCTTCGCAGTTTTTAAATTTAACGTTTGGTGTTCCCTTTAGCCATTTTCCCGGTACATTTAAAAGCCAGACGAAGGCTGGCAGCGAATCTGCTAGTATTTTTTATAGAGGAAAATTCTGACAAACTTTATGTGCTCTTAGTCCTTTAAATTAAAAGAATAAAGCTTCTTCTTTTCAGAAAAAAAAGTTCATAATTTTTCTCGGCATTTATCGAGATGTACGTAACAACGTTTCTTAAGCCAATAAACGCTCCTTAAACGTATCCTTTTGACCATAAAAGGCTCAGAAAATGCAATCATTGAGTAAATAGCAATTAAAAATTGACCTAATTTTTAATTATCTGCTATCAATCTTTTTCCCAGTAACCGTACCAAAGATATGATCAATGTTTTGACTCAAACGTGTAGTTTCTGAAATATTTCCTTTCCTAGCTATCGGAAAAATCCTTGACCTATGAATCCTTGCTAACAAAAGCTCATTATTGCTTGCCCGGATCAGTTTTTGAAGAATGAAATATCATTGCGAAGAATTTCTCTCCACACCGTTTCTGTTAAGTTTGCTGTCCATCATGATGCACCGTTATCTTTTGTTCCTGGCCTTAGCTGCATATTTGATCCAGACCCATGGAGCATTAGAAGGTAAAAATGAAATATTTTTGTTTGAACTTCATTTTTTATTGTTATCCTTCCTAAGTCCTATATTGTAAGAATGATTAGCCGCCTTTGTAAAGTCGCTGAACGGTAATATGATCGGGATTCAAATACCTACAAACTTAGCTCGATGCATACGCGTTTTCGTTGCTTTGCCCATGTGCAATGTGGATACGAGCCAATTTCTTTTAGGAAGTCCTCGAAGAAGGCATGCATTAGCTTAGAACAAGGCTTCTTAAACGTTTTTCAATCGCGACCCCTTTTTATCACTGAGATTTTTTCGCTAGTGTAGATATTAAATATAACATAAATCTAAATAAAAAATCTGATGTGTACACCACATGATTTCCTTGTACGGAAAATTAAATTATACGCATTTTTTCTTGCATTTCATTTAAACTTATTGGATTGAATTAAACCTACTTCGCCGACAGCGCATAAACCACAATAGAATAAATGCATTCTTTAAAATTCACTTTGTTTACCATAGCGACACTCTGCCGATAGATTAACAGTATTTATATTTCGTTCATATTATAACTCAGAATGTACAAAATTTATATCATTTAAAGAATTATCGAATCGTTGCCACTTTGTTCTATTCAAATACTATAACAAAGCTAGAACGATATATAAAAGAAATTAAGCAAACGAAACAAAAAAGAAACAGTTTTTCACAGACGATTGACTATTTCTCACTCAATTAATTCAGTTTTCACTTCGCGACAAGGCAAAAATACATAAAAACTCAAAATATCTGTATTAAAAATTACGAAGTAAATCTTAAACGCTTATTTCCTCGAAAAAATTCCAGAAAGGATTAAGCATGATTTAAATAATAAATGAAGGCGTTATCTTTATTGTTGCGAAGCTAAGTTTCTCTAGATTGGCGACAAATCCACTATTTAAATGTAAACAAGCAGTGGCCGCCATCAAAAAATTTATTAGGCTTAGCGGCACTTAAACAATTTTAAAATTGTTGATAATTCTAAAAATATTGCATACAGATTCGCTAAAGGGATAAAAACCTTAACCGGAAGATAAGAGAATTTCAATCATTCAGATTCAGAAGATAGAATTCAATCATTTTTAAAGCAAAAAATGTACAATTTACAAACATATAAGAGTAAAGAAACTGAGATCACTGAGCCGGGTAACAGAGTGGATATATGTATAAATATATTTATACATTTATACATACATTTGGTGCTGCCGATTGCAACCAAAATACGAGGTGCACATCTACATGTTATAGCAGTCCTATATACAGAATTTCAACGTTCTGAGGCTACTCGTTTTTGAGTTATGCGAGATGCGTACGTACGTTCGTACAGACGCCACGAAAAATTCTCTTCAGAATTCATTTTAAAGCAGTTTTATATTTTTTTGGAGGAAAAGAGTGTTTTATTCTGTTCTTACATACAGATATCACCGGAAATACATCGTTAAATTGCATTTGAAAGAGGTCAGAATGGGATATTTTCGTTGAAATATGCTGCCTGAAACTTTTCGCGATTACAATACTTCCTTTTTACTTCGTACAAGGAAGTAATAAATAAATAAAATCGGAAAGGTTTCAGCTTCTGCATTACGCCCAAAAAGGTGTTTTTTTAACGCCCCTTTGGGCGTAATGCATTGTTGTGGGTTACCTTAATTTATTAAATATCATGTTATTCGTATTTAAACCATAAAAGTCAGTTCAACAGCAATGTCGCAAAATAATTTTAAAATGAGTGTATCCTTAGAATTTCCGATACACAGTCTGGCTCGATAGAGATAAAAAGGTTTGTTTTTACCTCCGTAGAGTGTTGCCATTGCTCGCTTTTAAATCGTTTAGTTTGTTAATAAAATATTCGTTAAAGTTTTACAAAATAAATAAATAATAAAACAAATTCCAAATTTGGGCTTCCAGATGCCCATAATCGGGTGGAAACGTACGTTATTCACAATTCGATGGCTCTAGGTACCGTTGATTTATCACAATGCGAGACGCATACATACATTGATGCAGATTCTTCATTATTTAATTTCTTTAAATATAATACAGGGCTCTAATACGAGTATTTGATGACAACAATTTGGAAAGTGAACCGACATTTATAGTAAATCGACGCAAAATGCCAAAACGAAATTAATAGACCTTCTGAGGAAATTGCCCCTTTGGACTAATAAAAATATATATCCTCCCGTAAATAATTCACTTCTTTGGTAGAGAATATACATATAAAAAGAAGCATTTTAGGATTTATTTTAAGCAAACAAAAAATATCAAAGAAATTTGTAATGAGACGGATGTGATTGTTTTCTGCTGCGTAACGAATTAAATGTTGGCGTGATATTTGACCCTGCTAGACATGAAGCATCATCAACATTGAATGATATTTGGTTTTAATTAGCGTTAAAGCTGAAAAAGTAGCTTTATAAAACCATGTGGTGCTAAATGAGAGAAGACGATTTTATGCCATTTCCAGAAATAACGAGAAATCTAATTTTAACTCCGATCTAGAACTTATCAAGGATTTTTGTAAAAACTCAAGTTTTAGGTTTGAATCGCTAGATAGCTTTACAAATTCCTTTTGCACTTTATATAACAAGTAATTAATCTCATTAATATCAATTAATGTAATGTCTTTAAAAGTCTTATGAATACACTTTCTTTGAATTCAGCTACCGAATTGAATTTTCATTGACCCAAAATTTGGATTTGCGGCCCCATAAGTTTAAGAAACACTGGCTTGGACGGATAACGCACGCTGGCTTTGTCATAAGCAAACTAAAACAGATTTATTGATTGCCCACAGTTAAATTTTCTTTATAAATGATATTGTCTGGTATACTTTTAGTGCAGAGTCTTAATCAGGATTTCAGTAATAATTATATTTCATGGTTTCTGTGCATCCAATTTTTTCAAAATTGATATTCAGTAGAGATTTTAATTATTATATGTAAATATCGGTTTTCATGTAGAGATTTCTTGCATTTCTAGAATACTGAAGTTACTGAAAATTATCAAAACACTGAAAACAATATTTGTGAAAACTTTTTTACTTCTTAGTACGAAGTAAAAAGGAAGTATTGTAATCGCGAAAAGTTTCAGGCAGCAAATTTCAACGAAAATACCCATTTTGACAGCTATCCAATGCAATTTAACGATGTATTTCCGTGACATCTGTATGTAAGGACAGAATAAAACACTCTTTTCCTCCAAAAAAATTATAAAACTGCTTTAAATTGAATTCTGAAGAGAATTTTTCGTGGCGTCTGTACGAACGTATCTCGTACAACTCAAAAATGAGTAGCCTTAGAACGTTGAAATTTTGTATATAGGACTGCTATAACATGTAGATGTGCACCTCGTATTTTGGTTGCAATCGGCCGCACCGAACGTATATAAATATATTTACATATATATCCACTCTATTACCCGGCTCAGCGATCTCAGTTTCTTTACTCTTATATGTTTGTAAATTGTACATTTTTTTCTTTAAAAATGATTGAATTATATTGTTTTTATCTTCCGGTTAAGGATTTTATGCCTTTAGTAAATCTGTGTGCAATATTTTTAGAATTATCAACAATTTTAAAGTTGTTTAAGTGCCGCTAAGCCTTTTTTTATGGCGGCCATTTCTTGTTTACATTTGAACCAGTAGGATAGGGGATTTGTTCCCAATCTAAAGAAACGTAGCTTCCCAACAACAAAGATAACGCCTTCATTTACTATTGCGAATTAAATCATGCTTAATCCTTTCCGGAATTTTTTCGAGGGAATAAGTGTTTAAGATTTACTTCGTAATTTTTAATACAGATATTTTGAGTTTTTATGTATTTTTGCCTTGTCGCGAAGTGAGAACTTAATTAATTGAATGCTGTACTTTTTTTGTTTTGTTTGCTTCATACATAGCTGAATATGTGGCACGATAGCTTTACATTCTGAGTCCTGTTGCGTGCGTACGGGTTCGTTATGAAATGAATGCACAAGTCCGATGAAAAATGAACAAAAATTTATTATTATCACAACAAAAATGCTTAAATTTTCTCAAATTATCATGCAGTATTACAATATCTCACAGTAGTTATCTTTTAACTACTCAAATGTCCAATAGAACGTAATTCAAAACAGCTAAAGAACGCTAATCCGCGAATTCGCTACAATCAACAAGAGCAGTTTTCTAAACAACAACAAACTAAGCAACTACTACAAACTGAGATGTTTTCCTCCTTTTATAAGATTTTAAAATCACGCGCTAGAATTTTCCAGTACTTTCTCGAAATCAAAAAGAGATATTTATTTATTTAATGCACGCGCTCTTGTATTTTCAATTTTTCGGCTTAGCTTTCTTTTAATATTCGTCACGCGCTGCACTGCGCGAGAAATAAAACCATTTAATTTATAATTGAACATTAGCTTTTTAAATACCAAATTCGTAACACTGCCCCCTTCCCAAGGACTGCACGTCCCGGGCAGTACAATCCCTGGACAGGAAGCTAAACTTACAACTGTGGCATAAATGCAACTGAGGCATAAACATTACATTACAATATCAAACAACATGAACAATAAATGCAATAACTAACTTAAACAAATCAAATGCTATCAAATACTAAATACAAAACAAATACTAAATACAAATCAAATACTAAATACAAATCAAATACTAAATGCAAATCAAATACTAAATACAAATCAAATCAAATACACATTTATAAACAAAAAGGACCATGGTCTGATACTATTTACAATTATTTACATTACGTACTATGGCCATAGTAATGAGCTAACCTGTCGTAATGAACGACTTAGGTTTAGAGTTCGAAGAATCCGAACCACGACGTCATTCAGCCTGTTTAGGACTGTGTACGGGCCATCCCAAGGTGACTGTAATTTCGGACAAAGTCCTTTCCGTCGAGTCGGATTCCACAACCACACCTTGTCTCCTTCGTGGAACTGATGTTCAGTAGCTCTTGTATCGTAGCGGGTCTTCATCTTC